AGGCCAGTATTACTCTGATACAAAAACCAGACAAGACTTCACAAGAAAACTACAAACCAGCATCTCTTATGAATATAGATGTAAAAATCCTCAATAAAGCACTAGCAAACCACATCCAGAAACATATAAGAAGGATTATACACCAAGATCAACTAGAATCTATTCCAGGAATGCCCGGTTGATTTAACATTGAAAAAATCAATTAACCTAACACATTATATTCATAGAATAAATAATAAAAATCCTATGATCATCTCAATAGACGTGGAAAAACATCTGACAGAATCAGGTAGCCCTTCATGATAAAAAAAAAAACTCAACAAACTTGGAAACATAAGGAAAGTTCTTCAATGTGAGAAAGGGCATGTGCACAGAAATCTCACAGCTAACATCACATTTACTGATCAAAGACCAGAAACAAGACAAGTGTGTCCACTCTCACAACATTGTACTGAAGGTTCTAGCCAGGGAAAAGGAAGGGAAGCCATCTATATTGGAAAGGAAGATGTAAAACTTTCTCTATTTGCAGCTAACATGATCTTATATATAGAAAATTCTAAGCAATTCACTACAAAACTATTAGAACTAATAAAGAGTTCAGCAAAGTTGCAAAACACAAGCTGAACATATAAAATTAATTTCTACATACAAGCAATAAACACTCTGAAAATTTTTTTTTTATTCCATTTATGATACCACCAAAAGGAATAAAATACTTAGGAATAAATTTAACAAAAAAAGTTCAAAACTTAAATGGTTGACCTTTGAACAATACAGGTTTGAATTGCATGTGCTGACTTATATGCAGAATTTTTTCAACCAAACAGGGATTAAAAACACAGTAATTGCAGAATCTGAAACCCACGTATAAGGAGAGCTGATTTTTCATATACACGGGTTCTGCAGGGCCAACTCTGGGACTTGCATATACATAGATTTGGGTATATGCAGGGATCCTGGAATCAATCTCCTGTATATACCAAGGAACAACTGTACTCTGCAAACTACAAAACACTGTTGAAAGAAATTAAAGAAGATCTAAATAAATAGACATCCCATGTTCATGGATCAGAAGGCCTAATATTGCTAAGATGGCAATACTCCCCAGACTGATTTACAAATTCAGTGAAATCTCTATCAAATCCCAACTGGCATCTTTTGCGGAAATTGGCGAACTAATTTTAAAACACATATAGTAATTCAAAGGACTGAGAATAGTCAAGTCAATTTTTAAAAATAAAAATAAACTTGGAAGATTCCCACTTTCCAATTTCAAAAGTTACTATAAAGACACAGTAATCAAGACAGTGGGGACTGGCATAAGGATAGACATAGAATGGAATAGAACTGGAGACCAGAAATAACCCTATACATATAGAGTCAACTGATTTTCAACAAGAGTACCAAGAAAATTCAATGAAGAAAACCCAGTCTTTTCAATAAATCTGGGATAACTAGAATAAACCACATGCAAAAGAACAAAAGTGGACGGACACCTACTTCATGCTATACATACAAATTAACTCAAAAGTGATCTTAGACCTTAATATAGGAACTAAAACTATAAAATTTCCATTAAAAAAGAAGAAAATATTTATGACACCAAGTCATAAAGCCTTCTTAGATATTAAACCAAAAGCGTAATCAATAACAAAAAAATAGGTTGAACTTCAACAAATTTTAGTTTTTGTGCCTCAAAGAATAGTATCAAAAAAGTGAAAAGAAAATGAACAATATGGGATAAAAATTTTTGCAAATCATATGTCACATAAGGGTATCTAGAATATATTTAAAACTCTTACAGTTCAACAATAAGAAGACAAAACCCAATTTATTTACTTTCTTAAGAGAATGGGGTTTCACCATGTTGGCCAGGCTGGTCTCGAACTCCTGACCTCAGGCGATCCACCTGCCTCAATTTCCCAAAGTGTTAGGATTACAGGTGTGACCCATCACGCCTGGACACAATCCAATTTAAAATGTACAAAAGATCTGAAGAGGTATTTGTTCAAAAATTATATACAAATGACGATAAGTACATGAACAGATGCTCAACATCATTAGAGAAATGCAAATCAAAACACAAAAAGATGGACAATAAATGTTGGGGGGGATGTAGAGAAATTGGAACCTTCACAAACTACTGGTGAGAATGTAAAAACGGCATAGCCACTTTGGAAAATATTATGGCAGATTAGGTTAAACGTAAAGCTACCATATAACCCAGCAATTCCATTCCTAGGTACATATCCAAGAGAAATAAAAACATATGTCCACACATAAACTTAGACACGAATGTTCATAGCATTATTCATAATACCCAAAAAGTAGAAACAACCGAAGTATTCGCTTACTGATGAATGGATAAGTAAAATGTGGAGAATCCATATGATGTAATATTATGTAGCAATAAAAAGGAAAGGTGTACTAATACGTACCGTAACTGACAAACTCTGAAATCATTATGCTAAGTGAAAGAAACCTGCATGTTGTACGATTCCTTTATATGAAATGACCAGAACAGACAAATCTGTAGAGACAGAAAGTTGGGTGCCTAGAGCTTGACGCAAGGAAATATTTGGGAGAAAAATGTCCTAAAATTGCTTGTGGTAACGGTTACACAACTCAGTGAATTTACGAAAAACTACTGAACTTATAAAGTTCTAATGGTTGCATTATATGCGATATGAATTTTACTTCAATAAAGCTATTAGAAAATTAAAACACTCTTTTCTTAAAGCACTCTTCAATACCAATTATTAAGATGACAAATCTTAACACAAATTAGCCAAATAATTTAATCAAGTTAACAGCCTCCCTTAAATAATATTTGCTAGTCTACATATATTTATGTGTATTATATATTAAAAATTAAAGAAACAACACCACTTCAATATATATTCAGATTTTTCACTAATTCTTAATGGCTTTCTTCCAATCACTCTTAATGAATGGAGTTTTAATAAACTAAGTTCTCCCTTTACAGGACACAAACTGATATTTTAACAATTTTAGCACATTTCCATGAGGATCTCTAACAAAAACTTAGACTTCCTATCTGTGGTGAAACAAGCTTAAAATAATTCAACTTAATATTACCAGAAAATAATTCTGCTACGAAAATTTCTCAATTTGTGCTTCATGTTGAAAAGAATGTCAAAAGATAAAAAGCATATTTTTCTAACTTTAATTTAAATTTTTAAAATATTGAGTAAAATTTTACATAAATTGTCAGAGTTTTAAAAAATATATAGAGGACTTTTTTCTTATATACTTGAGAAATTTCTAAAGTAAACATCAGCAGAAATAAAACAATCACTTAGAAATAAAAGTTTAGGCTGGGTATAGTGGCTCATGCTTGTAATCCCAGCACTTTGACAGGCCAAGGCAGGTGGACTGGTTGATCTCAGGAGTTCAAGATGAGCCTGGGCAACATGGTGAAACCCCAACTCTACAAAAAATACAAAAATCATCCAGGTGTGCTTGTGCACGCCCATAGTCCTAGCTCCTCAGGAGGCTGAAGTGGTAGAATGCCTTCAACCCTCATGGTGGAAGTTGCAATGAGGTGGGATTCTGCCACTGCACTCCAGCCTGGGTGAAAGAGCAAGATATTGTCTAAGGAAAAAAAAAAAGTAAGCTTACATAAAACAATATATTCAATAATACTGCATAGAACTATCTACAAAGAAATAAATTGTGAATACAAAATAAACTTGTTTGAGCTCAGCAGAGACTTCCGTATTTGCCATAGGTTGTGCCAGCTTAGTAAACAGAAGTTCTTCATACAAGAAATTATCTCTAATAAATTAATTCAAGTAGAGTACAACAATATAGAGGAG